TGGGTGAGTTACCTAAAGTGCAGTCCATGTTAGTTACCTTTAACTAAATAAAACAATGTATTACACTGCACCCATGGGTGTGCCACCTAAAGTGCAGCCTATGTTACTTAACTTTAACTAAATAAAACACCAGGTTACTCTGCACCCATGGGTGTGCCACCTAAAGTCCAGCCTATCTTACTTATCTTAACATAAATAAAACTCTGGGTTACACAGCATCCCATAGGTCTGTCACCTAAAGTGCAGCCTACGTTAGTTACCTTCAAATGAATAAAACACTCGGTTACACTGCACCCATGGGTATGCCAACTAAAGTGCAGCCTATGTTAGTTACATTTAACTAAGGAAAACACTTGGTTACAATGCACCCATGGGTGTGCCACCCAAAGTGCAGTCCATGTTATTTACTTTTAAGTAAATAAAACACTGGAATACACTCCACCCATGGGTGTGCCACCTAAAGTGCAGCCTATGTTAGTTACCTTCAACAAAATAAAAAGCTAGGTTACACTGCACCCATGGGTGTGCCACCTAAAGTGCAGCCTATATGAGTTACCTTCAACTAAATAAAACGCTGCGTTATCCTACACCCATGGATGTGCCACCTAAAGTGCAGCCTATGTTAGCTACCTTCAAATAAATAAAACACTCGGTTACACTGCACCCACGGGTCTGACACCTAAAGTGCAGCCTATCTTAGTTACATTTAACCAAATAAAACACTTGGTTACAATGCACCCATGGGTGAGCCACCTAAAGTGCAGTCCATGTTAGTTACTTTTAACTAAATAAAACACTGGAATACACTGCACCCATGGGTGTGCCACCTAAAGTGCAGCCTATGTTAGTTACCTTCAACGAAATAAAAAGCTGGGTTACACTGCACCCATGGGTGTGCCACCTAAAGTGCAACCTATGTTAGTTACCTTCAACAAAATAAAAAGCTGGGTTACACTGCACCCATGGGTGTGTCACCTAAAGTGCAGCCTATGTTAGTTACCTCTAACTAAATAAAACACTGGGTTACACTGCACCCATGGGTGTGCCATCTAAAGTGCAGCCTATGTTAGTTACTTTTAACTAAATAAAACATTGGGTGACACTACAACTATGGGTGTGCCACCTAAAGTGCAGCCTATGTTACTTACCTTTCACTAAATAAAACACTGGGTTACACTGCACCCATGGGTGTGCCACCTAAAGTGCAGGCTATGTTAGTTACCATCAACTAAAAAATGGATGTGATCTCTAACTACAGAAATTACTGTTGCCCTACACATTTACTTTCACCTGCTGAAAAAGAGCTTACTACTGGCTTAAATAGGTATGGAAAAGAAAGACGTGGGGTAATTTTAAGATGCAGTTGAGTAAAAAAACCGGCTTTACTAATAAAAAAGAGCCTGGTTATCTTTTCCTTAGCTGCACTCTTCGATGTTTGATTCCTGCCGCTTGAAACTTGTGTGTCGTCTTGACTTTGCTTTCTCTTTTCAAAATGTTTTTCCTATTAGCTGGTTTAATTTTATTCAAAATGCTTCCCTTCATCGCAGCTTTCCAAGGTCACGGTTTCTATAAACGTATTTCTAGTGTAATCATTACCATGGGCTCACATATTATACCCAAAAAGGTGCAGCTTAAGAGAATTATGATTACATTTTACCCAGGAAAACTTGACATTCATTAACAATACTCATAACTTCAGTTACAGGACAGCCATCCGTTTATACAAATAAGTATTCCTTGCACAAGTTAAGCTGGAAAAAATCCTAACTTTTTAAAAGCCAAATTTAATAGCACTTTTGATAAAAAATTCACACTCCCCTTTTCACAGCAGCCTCTTCGAAAATTTCGTTGAAGATGACCTTCGCTTCTGCGTTGCCAAATCCGCACATGTTTCGAAGCACCATCGCCAAACTTTCCCTATTTCTTTCGCACACGTAATGCACGTCCTTGATAACGTGACTGCTTCGCTGCTTCATTAACAGCACCTTTTCTGTGTATCCAAATTTTCCTTTTCGATGATCTTCTTTAGATTTAGGGAATTATTCTTGTTTTCAGCTCTCTGCGAGTTTCCACTGTTTGGGGGTGTGATGACCACAGATGACTACGTCTTGTTGATTGGCGTCGTTGGCATTCCCAAGCGCAGTAATGCACGTGGTTGTTCTTTGTTTGCTTGGCTTTCGTTTTCTTCGTCAACAGACATGTTAAGGAAATCTACTGTGTCCAGCAAATATCTCAGTTGCGAAATTAACTCAGAGCTTCCGAAGAAGAAAGGCGAAGCAGAGTGGCTATCAACCCAAACGAGGAACAGAAAATTTCTGTTGCATTTGAAGACTTATTGTTAGAGAAGTGGCGGCCACCTTGCAGCCGAATGTAGGCACTGTCGATTCTTTGAAAATTGCCTGGTAAACTGGCAACAATAGGCGATCGCTTATAATATTGTGTCAGCGTTGATCCACAAACTTTGGTGCTAAGAATCTACCAACTCAATTGTGGACTTAATTCAGGGCTGATGACCCGATTGAAGCGCGAGAAACCTTCCTCGGTACCATCTCTACTGTTACTGAATCGTGGGTTTGTAATACGAGCGTGCAAAGAAAAGATTGGCGGCCAAATACCATGACATTCGAATATTAATTAAAATTGTCACATTATCCAGGTGCTAACTCGAGGGTGTTGATAGCTCGAGCTAGTCGGTCCATGACATGTTTAATGAGATTAAATGAGATTAAATACGGGATTATCACACGCAAAAGAGACGAGCCCAGCAGGCGTAATACTTGCAGTACAAAGCACTTGTGTCTTCTCATGGTAGTGGATGTTGTACGTGTGGGAGGTGCAGTAGGTGTAGTGAGTGTAGTAGTTGTAGTGGGTGTAGTGGGTGTAGTGGGCGTAGTAGGTGTAGTAGGTGTAGTGGATGTAGTGGGTGTAGCAGGTATAGTGGATGTAGCGGGTGTCGTAAGAATAGAGGGTGTAGTAGGTGTGATGGGTTCAGTAGACTTACCAAGTGTATTAAGTGTAGCAGGTGTACTAAGTGTAGTGGGTGTTGCAGGTATAGTGAGTGTAGTAATTATAGTGGGGTAGTAGGTGTAGTCGGTTTAGTAAGTTTAGTAAGTGTAGTGGGTGTGGTAGGTGTAGTAGGTGTAGTAAATGTAATGGGTGTAGTGGGCGTAGCAAGTATAGTGGGTGTAATGGTTTGTAGTGGGTGTAGTGGGTGTGGTAAGTATAGTGGGTATAGTAGTTGTAGTGGGTTTAGTAGGTTTAGTAGGTGTAGTAGGTGTGGTAGGTGTAGTGGGTGTAGTAGATATAATAAGTATAGTAAATGCAGTAAAGTTGTAGAGGAGAAAAATCCCGTAGTGTGTATGTTTAAAGTTATTAACTAGTCATAAATAACACACTTGAAGCAAAAACTATTGTGAAAGTGCCAAACCCCTTTTTTATTAACAACAGTGTAGTAATTTTGGCAACAGTTTTGAAGTGTGTCCAATATCATGCCCTTTTAATCTCCATTTTTCCCCGACCTTTTTTTATCTATTTTGCATATAAAAGCGCTAAAGAGACGTAGAAGTGACTAAACCTAAGTATACTTTCAATGAAAATTCAGCGATAACCCTGAAAATCATCTGTTTTTTCAAAGTGCAGGAACAACAGTTATCGAAATGACGAGAAATTTCTAATAATGGGACTACAACATTTATTACTGATTTCTTGGGCATTAATAGTGCGTTTGCATGGATTGCCTTTTAGCCCAGAATAAAAGTAGTTATCATTGACCATTCGCAAAGTGATCCTCAGTACTTGAGGGTAAGGAAACTGATTTTCAATCAGTCTTTTGTTCTTACCCCTAATCTGGAACATAAACTTTGTCTAACGCATTTTTTAGTCTCTGATGGTTCTGTTTTCACTGAAAAATGAAAACCAGAACAGAGTTGCGATCACTTTGTGGTTCTTCTTTTCTTTTCTGGAATAAATAAGCTTTTTAACTCATCGTTAAGCTTCCAAGCCTCAGTTTTCATGTTTGATATTTCACATAGTTTGTTGATTGTCATCGACTCACCGACTCTTTCGGTTTTCATGAAGTCGGTTTGATCGTCAGTTAAGGTGTCGGAAAGAGGGCGTTGTCTTTGTTAAGTCAGGAGTGAGTGACAAACCCGTTCTAGAATTATAGGATATCATTTTTCTATTGTAAGGGTAGAGCTTAAGTTTCTTCATTCATTCGGGACTTAACTCAACACAGGGATGTACTGTGAACTGTGACTTGGAGATTCTCTTCGTAATTAAAAGCGTGATTTAAATATACTTTAAGATTTGTCGTGGATCATCTTTGCAAACGGGGGTATTCGCGACAAAAGTGACACCTCCGACGGGACAGCGAAAGGGTAGAGCTTAAGTTTCTCCATTCATTCGGGAGTTAACTCAACAAAGGGATGTACTGTGAACTGTGACTTGGAGATTCTCTTCGTAATTAAAAGCGTGATTCAAATATACTTATAACATAACCAAAGTAAAGCGCGCGGTCTGATTGGTTAATTTAGCGTCCCTCATTTGCCCATGGGTGTACGCTGCTGACGTGAGCAAATGCAAAGACTATTTTTCCGCGCGTGCTTGTTTTTTCTGGTCACGTAAGATTTGTTAAATAAAAGGGAACTCTTTAGCTACAATGTATCAATGTTATGTTATAAAACAAATGGTAAACACCACAGCGTACACTATTGAGTTATGGATGCACTTGGGAGGTTTGCTAAGCACTCAAGAAGCTAGAGTCGCTCTCGGCTATCGCCTCGAGCAACTCTTACGCTTCTTTCGTGCTTAGCAACCTCCCGCGTGCATCCATAACTTAATAGTGCACGCTGTGGTGTTTACCATTTGTTAATTTAAGATTTGTCGTGGATCATCATTGCAAACTGGGGCATTCGCAACAAAAGTGACACCTCCGACGGGACAGCGAAAAAAAAATTGGTAGGTGAGTATTCCGTGTGAATGTGGATGCAGCATTATCCACGATGGATACGAAGCTTATCCAGCTTCAAATTGCGAGGGAAAGAACCGAGGAGACGATCCAAAGGAAGCGTTGTGACAAAATCGAAAGAAAAATCAAGGCGTTGAAGGAATTGTCGGGTGAAGCCGACCAGCTGAAAGGAACCCTCGAAGGGTTGAAGATAGCTGCTAAAAAGAGCGCCGAGGCAGTAAAGCAATGGAATGATCACATCGAGGAAAAGATAACCAGGGCAGACGACGACATCTTAAGGTTAAAGGAATGGCTCGAGGAGACCAAGAGAGAAGAAAACCAGAAGATCCGGGAAGAAGAGCTTCAATACGAAAGACAGCTTTTCCGAAACGCGTCTAAAATTTCAAACCGAGTTGAATGCGGCCAAAGCGAGCAAGGCCGAGGGAAGTGAATCCCCGAAGAGCAGTGGTGGCTCAGCGACTGGTTTGGGAGCAAAATTGCCGAAGTTAGTGATTACCAAATTCAACGGCACATTCCAAGATTGGTCACGATTCTGAGGGCAGTTCAGGAAAGCAATTGACAAGTCAAATATTGCTAGCGTTACCAAGTTTTCCTACTTGAGAGAACTGCTGGCGCCGAAACCGAGAATATCCATAGAAGCTTTTCCATTTTCTGCTGAGGGATACAATCTTGCTGTTGCTATCTTAAGGGATAAATATGGGAAAGAGTCAGAGATCGTGAAAGCCTACAATAAAGAAATTCTGGAGTTGCCAGTTATCTTCGGTGTAGAAGTGAAAGCGATCCACCAGTTTCATGAGCGATTAGCATATTGTGTGCAATCCTTGCAAACAATGGGAAAATTGGATCAAGTCAACGGAAATGTACCAATGACACTTGACAAACTGTCAGGGATTAGAGGCGATCTTGTCCGCACTGACGACTCGTGGGAAAATTGGGATTTTGTGAAGCTTTGTGAAGCATTACGATTGTGGATTAGGCGAAACCCAGTCAACTCCATTTCAGCAGAGGAAGTGGATTCTAAATCTTCTCGTCGAAGGCGAGAAAGGCCTGACAAGTTGTTCGCCGCAAAACAATGGGATCTTAAACAGCGGAAATGTGTTTACTGTGAGGACACATCTCATGTTTCATGGGAGTACCCAAAAATATCAATACTCCATGAAAGAAAGAAGTTTTTGGCTCAACGTCACCTTTGTTTTAATTGTACATACAGCGGCCACCAGGCCTCCAAATGCGGGAACAAATACTCGTGCCGTAACTGTGGTCATCGCCATCACACGTCCATCTGCGATCGAATGGAAACACCGTAAGTCGCATTAACAACCGCAAAAAGGGGAGAGGCATTTTTTCGGTCGTGAATGTGAAAGTTAATTGAATCGAGTGCCGCGCGTTGATTGATACCGGAGCCGGAAGCTCTTACGCCTCTGCGAAATTGATCTATCTGCTAAAAATAAAACCAATCGATGTCAAAGTTAAGCAAGTTGACATGCTGCTGGGAACATCAGTGAGTCGCCTTGAAACGTACAAGTCTTGCGTTGAATCGGCTTGCGGAGACTTCAAAATGGATGTGAACTTGATTAAAGTGAACAAAGGAGAGCTGTTGACACTAGACAACCCAAACTATGATTCAGTGATTGCGAAATACCCGCATTTAAAGGGAGTGGAATTGCGTGACCATGACACTAAACCTCGACTTCCGGTGCACATAATTACATAATTCACGGGGCCGGAGAATACGTTAGAGTTAAAAAACAGAAACCCGACCACGTATTAAAAGGGATGGCGAACCTGTGGGGGAGCTGACTAAACTTGCTTGGTTCGTGATGTCGCCTGGACAGGAATTTGACCGGAATGCGATGAGGCCTACACAAACCAGTCAGTTGGAATACCAAGAACTTTACAGACTTGACGTGTTAGGACTAGAGGACAGCCCTCCCTACGACCAAGAAGCAGTCTACAGTGAGTTTAAGGATCAGTTGGTGAGGAGCGAGCAAGGTTGGTATGAGACTGGATTGCCGTGGAAGGGAGATCGGTCAACTCTGCCGAATAACGAGAACGGGAGTCTACAACGGCTACAAGCTATAACACGAAAGTTGCAACGAGCGGAATAAACGGCAGAATATGACACCATCATCCGAGAACAAAAGGAGCAGGGGATAATCGAGAGCGCTGATCAACCCGCACAGGGAGTTGAATTTTATATTCCTCACAAACCAGTGGTACGGGAAAACGCAGAGTCCACTAAAATGCGCATTGTCTATCACGCGTCTGCTAGAGCTCAACCATCAGCGCCATCCTTAAATGAGTGTCTGAACGCTGGCCCTCCGCTGCAAAACAAACTCTGGGATGAGCTCGTCCGCCAGCGCTGCTACTCAGTTGCAGTGACCGGAGATTTAAAGAAAGCATTTTTGCAGGTGCGGATCAGAAAACTAGACGGGGATGCACTTTGATTTCATTGGAAGAAAAATGAACACTCTCCGCTTAAAACACTAAAGCTCACCGGAGCGCTGTTTGGCCTGACCTGTTCGCCGTTTCTGCTTGGGGGAGTGCTAGAGTGTCATCTTGGAACATGGGAATCAAACATGCCAGAGTTGGTGGCGGAGCTCCGTAAAAACCTTTACGTGGATGACTTGCTATCAGGAGGAGTGACAGTACAGCAGGCGCAGTACCACAAGGAGCAGGCTATTGAAATATTCGATGACGCAGGTTTCACCTCACACAAATGGCATTCCAACGTCCCGATACTGGAGGGAGAGACCGAGAACAAGGACACAGACCTGTCGTTTGCCAAGCAACAGCTCCAGCAGTCAAGGGAATCTAAAGCCAGCCTACTAGGTCTTGGATGAGACAAAGAGAAAGATGAACTGAAAGTCAAGCTCCCGACTGAAGAAGTTCAACCGACGAAAAGAGGAGTTCTAAGCAAGCTCGCCAAAGTGTATGATCCCTTGGGCCTCGTATTGCCCGTGACGCACGAAGGAAAAGTGATCTTTAGAGATGTTTGTGACCAGAAACAAGCCTGGGACGCCAAGCTCGCGGGACCACTTCTCTGGAGGTGGCAGGAATGGGAGCAGTCTCTACCTACGGAAGTGTCAGTGCCAAGGTCGATTACAAGCGTTCAGGAAACGTTACAAGATGTCGAACTAAACAGTTTTGCCGACGGATTCAAACTGGGAGTGGGAGCCGCGGTTTACGCAGTGGTGAGACAAGAGTCGGGAACAGCTCAACGCCTGGTAGCTGCTAATGCGCGTCTTGCAAAGAGGGGACTCTCCATACCCCGTTTGGAACTGGTTGCTGGCCATATGGCATCCAACTTACTCACCAACGTGAGAAACGCTTTGGACGGGCTACCAGTTTCCAACGTGTACGGCTGGCTGGACAGCACCGTTGCCTTACATTGGATACGAGGGAGCGGAGAATTTAAGCAGTTTGTCCAGAACAGGGTGACGAAGATCAGAGCACAGTCAGATATGGTGTGGCGACATGTCAGCTCCGAGGAGAATCCAGCCGACTTGGCCAGCCGCGGGAGATCAGTTAATGGATCCACACTCTGGTGGAATGGGCCTGAGTGGCTTGCTAGCCGGGAGCAATGGCCACCTAATCTAATTACTTCAGCTTTCCCTGCGACAGAGGTCGAAGTAAAAACTATGCGAGAAGTATTATCATTGGCGCAGCGCAAAAATTAAAGTGACCGAGTGGAAGAAGTGTTAGAGAAACACGAGCTGAAATATGCCCTAAGAGTTGTTGCACGGGTTACAAGGTTTATAGCCAACTGCAAGGCATCCAAGAAACTAACAGGGCCATTGACAGCTGATGAATTGGAGAACGTGAAGTGGGGATGGATCAGACGAGCACAACATAGAGCCACGACGATGCCGCACTATTCGCAGATTACGAGCAGCTTAAATCTTCAACCGAACAAGGATGGATTTCTGGAGTGCCGCAGGCGTATTCAAGGGAAGTACCCCATATACCTGCCAGAAGACGCCACGCTTACCAGAAAGTTAGTGAGACGGGTGCACTGTGAGACCCTGCACGGGGGAGTAGGCCTCACAATGGCTGCAATCAGAGAAAAGTTCTGGGTACCTAGATTAAGACGTCTTGCGAGGAAAGTAACGAAAAATTGCTGGGGGTGTAAACGGTTTCAGGCGACAGCAATTGCAACCCCTCCTCCAGGTCCCTTGCCGAGCAACAGGACAGAAGGAACCACAGCTTTTGGAGTCACAGGTGTGGATTTCGCAGGCTGAATTCGCTATCGTAAAGGGAGTAACGGAGAAGGGAAGGCTTACATCGCCCTGTTTGCCTGTAGTTTAACGCGAGAAATACCTCAGGTCTTGCAAAGATCAGTTATGGCGCCGTTAGACAAGAGAGTATCTGACGGCTTTCCGCGAGAGACACAATCTAAACCACAAGCGCAAGAACTTCAAGGTATCAGTAGGAGATGTCGTTCTTATCAAAGCGGAAGAGAAGAATCGAAACAAGTGGCCAATGGGCGTAGTTCAGCAAATCTACCTGGGTCGCGATGGAGTAGTTCGTGCGGTAGAAGTTGGAACAGCAACCGGGAAATTGGAAAGACCAATCCAACATCTCTATCCGCTGGAGCTGAGTTGTGACAGTTCAAAGCCTCCTGAACTCAACCCACTGACAGAAGCTTTCCGACCTCGTCGTCAAGCAGCAGCTGTTGCAGCGGAAAACATTAGGGCTATCGCCTCACGTGAACGAATCTCTTGTTAGATTTCCTTTATTAGCCTAAGAACATTATGGACGAGAGCATTTTTGTTTTTACAATTTCCGTTAATGTTTCAACTTAATTCAGTTCAATGATGTTTTAATGATTCAATAACATATACCTCCTTCGAAGCTATATGGGGGGAGAGTGTCAGAAATAGCGCGTTGTCTTTGTTAAGTCAGGAATGAGTGACAAACCCGTTCTAGAATTACAGGATATCATTTTTTTATTGTAAGGGTAGAGCTTAAGTTTCTCCATTCATTCGGGACTTAACTCATCACATGGATGTACTGTGAACTGTGACTTGGAGAGTCTCTTCGTGATTAAAAGCATGATTCAAATATACTGTAAGATTTGTCGTGGATCATCACTGCAAACGGGGGCATTCGTGACATAAGACTTTTTTTCCTTTTAACGAATTACATATCTGGTTCTTAATCCAACAGTGTCTAATCTTGTTTTTATTTTAGTACGAGCACTAAATTAATCGCAATGCAATATTGCCAATACCTTTACTCTTTTTGACACTATTTGGGGAAAGTCTTTTCTTTATATCGTTAACCGAACCTGAAAATTAGAAACACCAATCTTTACAGCTAGGAATTTTACGGTACACATTTTCATAAACACGTGAACAAGTGTAGATAAGATTATTTAACAACAATACAACCCCTGGTTGGTGACGTATCTTACTCTTTAGTTCGTCCATTGTTTAATCTTCAAGAAGTGAGTCAGTCGTGTATTCTGGCTAAGATATTTTCATATGCCAAAGCCAGTCTCTATTCCAGCGTTTGAATTAGTTTGACATTTAGAGTTTGTCGTTTGGCTAACAAGTTTCCTCTGAAACCACCACGACTTATCTTTTCGCGTCTGGTTGCCAATCTTGCCTTTTAATTGTGCATTTCCTGTAAAAAAGAAAAAAGTCTCTGATTAATGGTTAAACGCAGTCACTCGCATTAATGCAATATTACTAGTCCCTTTCCTTCTTTTACATCCATTGGCAGCATTTGACGCTGGGTGTTTTTTCAAGGTGTATACCTGCAAACGACGACTCAGAAACATGATTCTTCAGCGCATTTAATCATATGCAGGTGCACATCGGTACTAAATAAAATGAATGAGTTGAGAAATACAGACTACACGGTACTTTGAAAACTGAGCAAATGCGTAGTGGTACGCATATAACAATTTATTTATTAAATTAATCAATCAATAAAGCTGTTATTTGATCAACACTAATTCCTTTATCGTCATCGTCATCGTCGTCGCCGTCGTTGTAGTCATCGTCGTCATCGTCATCGTCATCGTCGTTGTCCTCATCATCATCTTCGTCATCATCTTCATCGTCTTCGTCGCCGTCATCGTCGTTTTCATCGTCTTCGTCGTCGTTTTCGTTTTCTCCTTCTGCTATTACGATAAATTCCCTTTACTTTACCTCGAATTCACCATTTCTTTCCGCAATGCAAGCAGGTAACCAGCCGATAGACACAAAGCGGACTTTTTCGGTGGGTGTGGATTGGAAAGAATGCAGGCCATAATGATAATCTACTCCACGAGGGAAAAGCACGTGCGTGGTGTTTTCAT